GACCTGTGCCATTAAGTCCGGCAGCGACATGTTCAAGTTTATGTTGGGCATGGCATGTTTGAAATGCTGAACGAACTCAGCCAAGATACTCCTCTTCAGGAAAGCTGCCTGGTAGCCTTTTCTGGATAGTTGGCATCGTGCGCCCAGCATTTCGGTGTCCGCCTGGCAGGAGCCTTGCATTGCACACAGCAGTGGAAAATTAGGCCGAAATGCTGAAGGTGGCAGTCACTCAGTAAGTGTGTGTGTGTGTGTGTGTGTGTGTACCTCCAGGTGTATTTCAAGGTCCCGAGACTTTCCAAATCTATACCCATGGGGTTTCGTCAATGCCATCATTGGTGCATGGACAGTTAGATGCTCACCTGTAGCCCGATTATTGCACAGCACCAGTTCCAATTCCCTCATTGCCCTTGATGCTGCGCTGAATCCGGCTTGCACTGTGTTGAAGAGGATGCGGTGGATGGGGACAATGCTGTTGTGCACAAAGGTGTCCGTTGAAACCTGTAAGTACAAAGGAATCGGTTCATATGGGTGATGGTGACGAGCATCCCACATACAAGAAGGTAAAAGGAGCCAATGTGTGCCATGATGAACAAACATCCAGCTGGTGCTGTCCGCAGACTCCAGCTATACTGCATGCAGAAGGCTTGTATTGGAACCTGCAACTTGGCATTACATTCCAACGAAGCAATTGCCAACTTTGCCATGGAGCAACAGCGGTTGATGTTGAATGCACCGCTTCGTGAGACAATCAGCGTCAGGTCCCTGTGGGAGACAGAGGGAAGACTGCAAGGGGTAGCAGGTGGCATTACTTTCTGGTGTTGGGCTGCTGTAGATTGGTGATCTGGCGGGCTGGGGGGTTACTGGCTCCCCGTGTTTCACGGACAGTACGCCATGGCTGACTGCGACCGAAGCAGTTTGTCTTATGGTATATGTGCTTGTTCGTTCGTTGGATTCATTTGTGGACAATGTGATGCAATCTGTCCCGAGGGATATTCATATTCAATCTTAAGTACAACACACCTTCGTCCAAGTTGTCTCGACATGTGGAGGATGTGGCGACGTCCACTCGTTCGGAGACTCCCCGGAAACGTATCCATTCATGTCGAAAATGAGATTGCAGCGGGTACATTCTCTTGTGAAAGCAATCCCCTTTTCGCTGGTCACACCAAGAACGTAGAACACAGGCTGGTGTCCTTTTGCCCTCTCCGGTGAACCCAATTTCTGCACAACACACCACATTCCGATTCGTAGGCAAGATATTTAACACTGATGCGCATTCGATGATGGGGAGGGCACACTCCATCGCTGCAGTGGCACAGTTGTTTGTGAAGCACGGGCATCTCCGCAGCAATAGCGGGATTTCAGATGCATCGAGTGTGGGAATGGACTTGCCTGGTCGCACTTCACGCAGTTGTATGCTGGGGGCGCGACTTTAAAGGCCAGACTGTTTTTGTGAAGGGATGCTGACACCTTATTCCGGATGTTTGGTATCTATGCCCAGTTGACACCATGTTTGTTCTCCATGCCCAAAACCAGTAGTTCGATTTCATATCGTGTAAGCCTTCTTAGTGTGGAATCTTGGGGTGCAACGTCCTGGAAGGTCCTTCTGAGAACTTCGTAAAGATCTGGATTCCGGGGATCGATATCTACATTACCCCGTGTTCGTATGCTGTGCCAGCCTCTGTATTGCAGGGTAGTCTCGAAGTATGTAGCCAACAGTGTGACGATGTCCACCACCGCCAGCCCTGCTTTCTTTGCTCGGCGCAGGAGATCCTTCAACATTCATGACACTTGGTGATAGTGCAGTGTACAAACCACATGTCACTGCTGGCATTTCTGCTACGAGCATGGAGCTCCTTGTCTGACAAAGACATTGATTCAGCAAAGAAGTATAGTTTTCGTACGAAACTATACACGCGTGTTGATGCCAACCGAGGAATATGTGCATCAACAATTTCAAAATAGTTTGACGGTTGCAATAGCACATCCCACCACACAGCCATCGGCAGCAACCACTACCAATACACTTCAAGTACGTACATGTTATTGCATCACAATACAGGACCCCCCCCCGACATGCTGGTTTAGGTGTCGCTAAACCTATACGGGTCGCTATGTTCCCCAGTACTTCAAGTGCCGCTGCAGCGCTGAATGCAGTTCAGCATTATTTCATACCAGTCCAGAAGTCGGGCCTTCGGCCAAGACGTTCTGCACTTTTTCGTTCCTATGCTATCTAATCAAAGCCACTGACTCGCTGGCCAGGCTGGGCTGCGCTGTTGCATTGTTCATGTTTTCCATTCCCTGTCGATTTGCTCATCACATTCTTCGCTATGTCCTTTGCCACTGTCGCTGCGCCGAGGGCTGCACGGCACCGTGGCGTGAGTTTGCTCCCACTATGCTGCACGGGGAGTCCTTGTTGGGGGCTGCAAGCCGCGGCCCCATATCTCCTCAGTCTGGCCTCGCTCGCGGTGGGCCCCCGGGCTGCGTTTAAGCTGCAACCCGAATCGAAGGCAGAGGCCAGAGGCCTGCTTTGGGAGCTGGACGTCTCCCAACCAGGCGCGACCAAGAGCCTGATCAAGGAGACGTTCGACAACATCCAGAGGGCTGTGGTCCTCATGGTCCAGGTAATTGACGCTGTTTCGCTAGGCAGTTGGGTATCCCGTCAGTACTTTACAGTAGCAGCGGAGCAGCCACCCGACACAAGGTATTGATGGCAATCCTCATGGACCTCCATACACAAATGAGCAGCCAGCCTGTGCCCACGACAATGCAGCTAACGGACATTCTGAACTGGTGCGAGTGGCTTGGGAGTTTGGGGCAAGGAAGATTTTGCTTGATGTACAACAGATGTCTTAAGTGCATTCCAAGCTTCTTTCAGAATTTTGCGCGGCACAATTTGTATGCTGTTTTGTGGCAACGCAGCTTTGGGACGTGTGTTGATCGCGTGGTGGTTCGTGCAATCAATCTGCCATTCCAAACGCAGTCACTCCTGTTTCCGTAGCCACAGAATGCGAACTTTGAGCATTGCATGCAATACATGTTCTCTTACAGTAATTTATCATTGGCAAATGTAATTAACATACTGTGCCATACTATGCCATTACTAATACCAGGCTTGGTTTTTACGCCGTAAAAACTGATCGTTTGTACGTTTTTACGCGTAAAAATACGTAAATACTACGTAAAAAATGCCCGGTGTACATAAGGACAGTACATACAGACTTACAGAGTCCAGAGAGTGGCAGCCAGACGCCCTGGAAGGGGCAGAAAACGAGTTTTTGTCAAACACCATCACCGCCCTTGTCATGGGCGAGGTGGACACTGTGTTGTGGGTGCTGGATATGGCGGAGGACTGATCATTGTACACAACTTCCATCGTGTAATCTGGGCGTCCCAGGGAGCCGTAAAAACGTAAAAATAGCCGTATAAAAATAGGCCCTTTTGCAAATTTACGTTTTCACGCGTGAAAACGTAAAAGTAAAAACGTCAACGTAAATGTAAAAACCAAGCCCGACTAATACGCTGTGTTAATATACCTAATACACTATTACAGCTTGTCTCCTTTTATCTAAGTCCATCAATGATGGTATTTTTGCATGCACTGCAAATAGTTTTGCAAAATATTTGCTAGTATATTATTGATCAGCTACTTTCAGCACCAGTAGAAAACGGCATCTTCGCGATGACAACTGGGATGCCAGTATGACGCGAAAAGGCGCAATCACAGTGATTGAGAAGGCGGAAAAAATGTGTGTGATAGCATCAAATAGCGTCAAATGCCGTCGCAGGTGGCATCGCAAACATGACACTCTCTGATAGTGTAGGAGCACATCAGGCGTCACAAAATTGCAAGCATTGCGGGCATTCACATTTTGAATTTGAATCTTTCACCATTTGCCCCAACTTGGCGCTCAGGCGCGTCGATGTCTTCAGGCGTCAATATGTTTGTCTTGTTCATGCGTACTTTCACCCATTGTGTCTATTCTTAACATGGGAAGGTGCCCTACACAGTGAAATGAACGGGAGTCCTTTGCACAACTTTCATTCTCTGTTCTTGGATGGCAATTATCCTTATCCCTGGTAGTGCCCGACAGCCTTCATTCAACTCCTGTGGACATCGAGTTGCAGTTCGGCTCACGACACAAGCCTATCATACCGTATGATTTGTACGACTCGGCCTTTTGCTCTGCCTCTGTTGCTGGCTGTTCAGCTGCCAGTCCTGGCGTAATTTTGCTGCACCAACAAATAGGGACAGTCGTGTTCATTCCTTCGGTAATGGGGATTCAATGCTAATCCGCGATTTGCGGTCTACGGTCCAGCCACTCAGCAAATGACATAATTCTTAGTGGTATAGGTCTCACCAGATGTGTCGACATGTTGGTGGACAAACAAATGCTGGATGAGGGAATGATCTTGTTCGCTTTTCGACATCTTGGGTACTGGCGATTCAGTACACGTTACCTGGCCCTCGTCAGAATGATCACATATGTGTGTTGGTGTTGTCAAGTGTTGCACCACATTTACATGTCCAGAAGGTCACGATTTTTTGCGACAGCGAAATTGTTCGTTTTTGCGACATGTTTTTTGCGACAGTGTTGCTCGTTTTTGCCACAACATTGTTCATCTTTGCGACAACGCCCGGACTGTTCCTTTTGCAGCAGTGGTGCTGTTGTTCGTTTATGCGATAGTGCTCCTGCCAAATGTGCGACTTGCAGCCGTCTGGCCGATGCTTTGTGCACTCCGAGACCTTCGGTTGGCAGTGTTGTTGTTCATACAACAGGGTCAAAAGGCCATACAGGAGTGCTAGGGGATGACCAGAGTCCCTTTGATAACCGATTTGGACATCGTCTTGTTGTTGACCAGGAGAGCCAGTCCTGGAATCAAGAAAGGAATCCAGTTGTGAAGGAGCCATAAATTTTCTCCTTGCATTCAAGACTCGCCAACCCGAACCACATGCCGCTCCAGAACCATGTACATTTTCAGGTGGTCTACACATTCTCTTAACCTAAGGTCCAGAGCCACAGGCCGCCCAGGAAGCATGGGGTGGGGATCCCAATGCCATAGAACTTGACAGAGTCTGCGATGGCGCAGCCTGGGCCGTAGTAGGAAGTGGGCTTGACAACAGACTTGGAGAAGATGGTGGAGCCCAGGGGGTCGTCCAGGTGGCTCTCCAACGCAGCAAGTGGGTTCAAACGCGTAACCTGATGCGAACACAAGGCAAGTATGATTCAGATCAACTGCTCAACCTGTGTTTGTGGGAACTGGGAGTTGCGGGTGGGTAAACACGAGCTTGTGAGACAGGGATTAAATTTGCATTGCGAGCGAGCACAGCAACTGACCTGAGCAGACATCACAAATCCCTGGAAGCCACCATGGCCAGCTGGCCGTTCTTCACCTCCTTCAGCTTGAGCTCCTCGCTGTGACCGGGATGAAGGGGGCAAAGATCCCACCAGGGTAGCCTGGCTGGTCACAATAAAACCATAATATCAGATGCCTGTTGATGCAGGCAATCGGAAAACTGCAAGTTGGCAAACTGTTCAGAGATAGCAAGAAAGGAAATTGAGAACACACACCTGCATACATGAGCAGCATCCAATGTTGTCAAACTGTGAAATGGCAATGCCCTATCACATTCGATGATTTTACTCCATAAGGACTAAACAGATGCTGTGCCCAGGGCAGGCCAGGATAAGGGCATGAGACTGGCATGTCTTGAGGCTTATTCGGGAAGTAAAGCCTGAGTTACTCCACTGCATACGCCAAGCTGCAACTTGTGGTGGGACTGGCGCTTTGGCAACAGTGGTGAGAATAAATTTGTTTTACTCGAATTATACTTCAGCCTGACATTTCAAGACCGAAAATGCGCAGCCAACACAAACAGCACTGCACTTGCTTCAAAAAGGGCACTGTGTCCTCGAAACACACACCCCAAATACAAACCGTAGTTTGGTGCTTGAGCACAGCCACTTCATGAGAACCGGGATGCCCATGAATAACTGCAACGATGTAAACTTAATGGCAGGTTCAGCAGACATTCAGTCTGCATTCTGTCCCAATTTGCAGGGCTGAAGTGAGCCAAAACCGTTGATGATATCTCCCACCAGCCCACTGGGCAATACGATGAAATCACCTGGAATGGGCTTCAGTGTTTTGGGAGTGACCATTGCATTTGGTGGCTTATTAAAAACAAATGATGCACAGCGCACCCTTACGAACGAAGGGCAGGCGATATTACAGCACTGCACCACATTTGCAACTCCTTTTGCAAAGCGCGGTTTACAGAAATTAAGGAAGGAAAGGGTCTATGGACAAACTCGGAGATTAATAGCAGAGGATGGATATGCGTATGCAACGAAGCAGTGTCAATCCTCCACATAACCTGATTGGCAATGGGACCAACAACACGCGCCTTGGCACTCACCTCATGATCGGGAAGGCTGAAGTTGCTGAACACAGGTTCCTGCTTTACAGACCCTGGCTTCCTCAGGTCCTGCCACCGCCGAACCTCCACACAATGCATGGCGAATGCCTGGCAGGCCGCCAGCCCCAGAGGGATGAATGGAGGGTCGGCCTTCACTGCAGCCTCGTACAAGAAGACATATGGGTTGGTGATCTCCTGTACACGGACACAGGCGACAGTGGGCAAGTCAGTCAGGCAGGTTTTATCTGTCGACCCACACGAGTCCCTCCAGCAGGTTTGCCATCAGGAAAGAGGAGGTGAAAGTGCGCTTGGACATAATCACACCGCTGCGCACCATTCTGGTCGCGGACCCGGAATCCCCGTGACAAGGGCACTGCTGGTCATTGTGGTGCATCGCTTGGCCAACGGTGGAACGCTGTAGTTAGAACTCGTGCAGCTGTCGATACTCGAGTTGTGGCAATTGCGCCTGCCACGCGTGTGGACCTCCCGCCAAAGATCCGTTCGCACACTGCCGGCCGTACGCGGTGCCCCTTCCACAGACGCCAAACATATCCCAACCTTCCATAGGGGCAAAGACAGCTCCACCGCTGCCCACTGCTGAGGGGCCGGGCCATCTTGCACTCCAGGTATCACGCTCCCACTTCCTGACTTCCAACACTAGGTCTGCGGCTGGCCTCCGACCAGCCACAGGAATCTATTTCCAACTCGCATATACCCAGGCCGCCAGCGCTTCCGCGCTTGTGGTGGACAGGCCGTCATGAACGCCAGTTACCGAGACCACGACGAATTTCGTCTCTCCCGCGGGCCCTCGCGGACCCTCCCGCGGTGTCTGTCCGCCTACCTGGCTTCATGCCGGGTACCTACCCACGGTGTTGCGGCCTCCGCACGATCCTCGCCGGCCGCCGATCCTGCCTTCCGACAGCCCAAGGGGATGGCACTCGGACATGCGCAGGCCGCCGCGACTCAACCAGCGTGCCTGGCAAAGCCCATGCGAGGTCCAAGGATCCATCACCGGCAGCCGTTCCTGCCTTCCGACAACGCCCACCGGCCGGCCCGTCGCGCTGGGGGGCTCGATGGACAGCAGGGAGCCACTGACAGCCCAGCCGCCATGATCGTTGGTGCCGCAAGTCAGGACCAACGGTCACACCAGGTAGGGTGGGGGACCGGGGGGCGGCGTGGACCCCCGAACCGCTGATCCGCCTGGCCGCCTAGGCCTTGGATACCAAAAGGACGGGGAAGTGACGTGGACCGCCGATCCGCCGATCCGCCGAGCCGCCGAGGCCGGGGGGGAGGGGGAGGGGGGAGGGGGGACCGGGGGCTGACGTGGACCGCCGATCCGCCGAACCGCCGAGCCGCCGAGACCTAAGGGCCGGGGTGGGGGGGGAACCGGGGGCTGACGTGGACCGCCGATCCGCCCAAACGCCGAGCCGCAGTGGCGTCCAGTTGCCCCTTGGAGGGGCAGGGGCCCTAAGTCCACGTGGCCCCCGTGGGTCTGGACCCGGTTGGGCATGGTCCGGCGGCAACCCGGGCCAGGCGGCCGCCGAACCGCCGAACCTGGCGCCGCGGCGGCTTCGCCGCCGCGGCGCCAGGTTCGGGACTCCTGTGGACGGGCGCCCTTCCCCGATGTCGCGCTCCTCCGGGCTCCTCCGGTCAATGGCAAGAGTCAACGTTCAACGGCCGCTCGGCAGTTTCCGTGGCGGCATTTATGCGCCGTGGCCGGCCAACGACGTCCGGGGCAGGTACACCGTGGTACGGTTGGCAGCACCGCCATAGCTCTTATGTACTGAGGTGTGACTCACGCGGCGACTGTTGGTCTTATGTACTGAGGTGTGACTCACGCGGCGACTGTTGGTCTTATGTACTGAAGTGCGGCACGCCGTCGACGCCACTGCCCCAATGTACAGGGCCACAATCACGGTTGTCGGCCCAACCAATCGGCTGGCCTGGAGCAATCCCCCTTTATGTGAGAGTCGTAATGTACATGTGCGAGTTTATCGCGCCTCAAGGTTAAGAAACCCGATCATCGTCACGCAGGGATTATTGGTGACACCAGTAGAAAACAGCCCCACAACCCCATGCCATCACAACCCCTTTTATGTCATCGCACTCACTGTGACGGCATCAATTTGTGTCAAAATGGCATCGCAGGTGCCATCGCATACAGGCTGTTTTCTACCAGTGTGAGGCGTGCAACGAAGCATTACGCATCATTCGTTACGCAACCTTGTTGGTAACGAGGTTGCACGACGAGGGCACTGGGTTTCAATCGGCCGGTGGGTGCCTTGGAGAAACTTTCCGCCTCTTCTTGCGCGTGCATGATGTGTACTGTCGCGCGTGATAAATCAAATATCTGTACGTGCCATCACTAATGCGCCCCATGCAGCCATTTCACATCTGTAAATTCGGTAGGCGTTGATGCAATGTTGATGAGGGTTGATGCAAGGGGGCCAGGAGTTGACAAAGGATAGCGTCAGTCCATGTAGGACACGACGATGCGATTAGGAGATTGTGCTGTGGCACGACAGGCTGTGGCTGTTTGACGAGTGGCAGCCACCGCAACGTGGGCCATGCCGTGAATCGCACTCCGTGCAAACGACTCCCACCAGCCCGCATTTGGGTTGCTCTGGGCGGGGTGTTTTTTTTTCTCCATGGCTGCCGCACCAGGGAGGTGGAAGCGTTATTACTCCTCATAGCGTAACGACTTCCATTCCATGGTGGCCGGCCATGAACCATCCATGACACGTCTAACCGCCACATTTCCCCATCCATCAAAGTTTGATCAATCAATGACAAATGGAGTTGATGGCCACCAGGTCGTCGCAGCCAATGCAACCGCATTTCGCCAATAGTTTTTG